TATTTAACTGCTAAGGAAAAACTTCAATTAGACTTTAATATGACAATATATTACTAGTTGGCAAGTATTTTGTTATAATTTTAATTTTTAATGGAATTTATAATTTTATTTTGAAAATACTAAAAACTACGCTTGTCCTCAATTGAAACCTCATTTATTAGTTTTCGTCATTTGATTTTTAAGAGGAGCTTAGTCATATAATTTTGATGAGGTGTGTGCTATAAAAAGCTAAGGTATTGTTGTCATTCCATGTATAGCATTCTGGTGTATTTTCGGCATCGATTGTTTTACATTGGGTATAATTTTTCAAAATTTACTAATCAATTATTATTACTTAAATAAATATTTCTTAATGTACATATATTTGGCATATGCTGAGTTGTCTTAAATTTTACTGAATTTGAGTTTATTTGCATAAGTGTTGTATCAATTAAAAATGTATTAAATTCCTTGACCTGATTTCGTACTCCTATGTAAATACTCATACTTTTTGAAAATATTTTTGTATAATTGCCTGACATGTAACAGTTTTGCTTAATGGCAGCAATATGGCTGGAGGAACTACTATTCCATATTGTTGGCTTTCTATTGCATGTGTTAAATTGCTTAGCAACCTAAATTCCCTCATTAAAAGTATTTAGAAAGTACACTCGAAATGTTTAAAATCAGAGAACAAATTCAAATAGAAATGAAAAAATACTTGACTAACCATAACTACAAAATCCAACAGAACACACACATAAACTCACAACTCATGTGAATTTTACTTGTACGAAAATGCCAAACAGCAGTTGAGGTTTGGAAGCTTGATGAGTATTCCTGGCACAATGTAGCTCGGAACATAGTGGTAGCTTGAAAGAAGTTGTCTAAAATAGAGAGGAGCAACTTTGTTACTAAACAAATATAAATGTTTGATGTTTGCTTAAAAAAAGTATACGTTACGATTTGCATAACTCACAATCAGTCTAGAATTTTGTAGCAAAAGAAGTCGCATAGAGAGAATTTTGTCGCATATGGAAGCCACAAATGGGTTTCTAACATTAATCAGAAACTGCATAAAATTACAAAAAGTTTTTAGCAGCTTGATGACAATTTCTAAGCACTTACTCGTAGGAAAACTAGGAAAACGGGCCACGGGCGGTGAGATTGCTTAAGTAAGATACAAAGCATTTGCAATGAGTTTTAAGATGCATAAATGGCTGAAAAGAATCTCTTTACTCACAGTAAAATGCAAACTTTCTAACAATTTCATAATATTCGTATAAAAAAATGAAAAAAATTAAATTTGTGGATTCACAGTTTACCACAAGTACTTGGGCACGTCTCTCTGCTCTATCCTTTTAACAAAAATATTGTAATAATTTATGTGCCACTAGTGCATGACCGCAAATTCTACGCACAACTTGTATGTATATTTAATATTTTTATATAATTATATATTTTTTATGAGCATAATTTTCGTTCTAAATGTTGCAGAGAAATGAATTTAATTTTATATCTCACAAATTTCGCTTCCAGCTCAAAACTGTATTACTTCCGCTGAGCTGCAGTCTCAGTCAATCTTGTCTTATAAAGCACTTCTAATATTATTTAACTGATAAACCTTACCGCCTGTTGGCTTAAAGGCTTTGCCAGATTATCTTCTAGCATACTTTATACTTTAACATTTTTTGCTCAAATGATTATGGTTTTTGTTTTACAATTTCAACTTTTCATGGAAGTAAACTCATCAGAAATGCATTTACTTGTCGCATCTTTAGCAACTTCCGTCTTATGCAGCCACACTAAACTCTGAACACAATTGGAACGTGTTGCAGCAGACGGCGTGGCATGGATTCATTCCTGCATGCATTCCTACTGCTTCTATGTAACCTATTTTCTTGCAACTTAACGAAAACTTATTTGTTGCTGCTTCAACTATTAATGTGCGGATATTTCAATTTTTTCTTTTATTTTTTTGTTTTTTGTTTTTGGTTGTATAAAATGTGGCAACTCTGAGCTGAGTTAACAACGCACGTTCGACATCTTGAAAATTATTATTTTGCTGATCTGTTGAAGATAAACTGAGATTGTAGTGTTTGTAGTGGGTCCACGCCAGACGCTTTAAGTGTACTTAGCAAAAGTAGTTTCAGGCATTATGCGAAGTTTTACTTCTTCATTAATTTTTTTTTGCTTGTAATTAGTTGGCAAAACATGTACAAGTGGAAATCTGTGTCTATATTGTAGTTGCCGCTTGGTTTGATTTTGTTAGAGGATTATTACATAGCATCACTTAACACAAATCTTATGATTTGTTTACATTTTACCGCGCATCCGCGCATAGCAAAAAATAGTCAGCAACATTCTAAATTATTTATCCAGAAGTGCTGACAAGGCACGAATATACTTATTTATTCAGTTATCTGGTATATTGTTTGACGAAGCTAACGACTCCTATGGATATGAGTAGTTTAGTGCTCTTTTTGCAGTACTTAATAATTAAAACTAGAAATACAAAAATTAATTTTTTTATTTAAAATCAGCCAAGTTATAAAAAAATAAAACGAAATAATAAAAAATAGTTTTTTGGTCTTCAGACCATATATAATTAAAAAACAGAACTTGAGTTTAAAATTTGGTCTAAAAACCAATATAATTTTAATTTTTTTGTTAGAATAATAGTTTTACCAATATATTAAGATGCTATACTGAATGATCCATTTACTATTATTATTTAAGTACAATGTTAATAACTAAGGGCTCATAGTTATGGTATACTGATACTGGTCCAAAATGGCAGTGCAGGTGTAGAAATTATAGGACCCAAACTCCTTAAAACAATCGCAATGGGAAAAACCGCGTCTATTCTTCAGGCCGAAGTCTATGCCTTTGAGCTACGTGCGAGAGAGTGCCTACGCAGGAGTACCCGGGGTACCAAAATATGCATTTTTTGGACAGCCGAGCATTCCAATAAGAGATAGTCTGGGAATGTTTTCAATTTCTCAATACTCTAGCATCGAGAAACTAATCTAGAAAATGATTATTGTCGACTTTGTCATGAGGATAAAGAAACCTCAGTACATGTTTTATGCAACTATCCATTGGCTGCAAGATAAAGACTTGATTATATTGGAAGCGGGATCTTAGTCCCAAATCAAATATATAAAATTACGTCCACAGCAACTACGAGATTTATAAATAGTCTAGAATGGTTTTAGTTCGTCTTGCACGAAGTTCTTCAGTACATGTTTAATTCTTTTTACGCTTACTTATGAATGTTGTATAATATTTAATCAGCCACAGGATATATAACATTATTTTTGATCTTTGCTTTCTTATATTCAATTCATGAATATTACAGTTACTAGATTTATAAATTATCTAATTAGTTAAATTTTGATGAATATTTGTCTTCTATTTATTTGTTTAGTTTGTTTGATAAACTTAGTAAATCTGTATGATGGCTGGGTGTTTTAATTATTGTAGTATTTTAATTTCAAAATGAAATAAATCAATTTTTAAAAGAAGTTGGCTAGTTCAACATATAGCATTGACACAAACAAGATATAAAGTAGTTTACTGAAACTTGAATAGAAAGACTACATATAATAAACTAAAAGTTGGTAAGTGGTAAATGACTGGTTGGTAAATGACTGAAATATTGGAATAATTCATGTTTCAGTATTTAATTCGGTATTTTTTTGTCAAAATTTACTGTCTTTATTGTACAGTCGCCGAAGTACCATATATATGCCAAAGAGCCTTATTGTAATATCTAAAAAGTTATATATGCTTTTGGCACCGAAAATTTTCAATTAAATTAATTAATTTTATTATATGTGGTATCTCATGTGGTGTCAGTTGCTTGGTTAAACCGTTTTAAAGATACTGAAGGGTTTTTGATTGAATATTCATATGCATACACATCTTTTTCAAAGGAAGTAACTTACAAAGTGGTCTATATAAACTATAATATAATAATGAAATTTAACATTTGGTATTAAATCTTAACTGATTTGCAAATTTAAATACTTATACTAACACTTTGTAATTTAAACTGTCATGTTTGTCATTTCAGTTGTCAATTATCATTGCAAAATAAAAATTTTTGACAGTTAAAATTACAAACAAAACTGTTGTGTCAATCCAGTATATGAGAACTAATTTTATTAATCATGGTTATATTCTGCATTACATTTTAGCTATCTTGTATACAATTGTGGAGAATGATATTAAAATATTTCTAAGTCGTTGTCTCCAAAATTTTAAATCTTTTCCTATTGTTTTTATTGCTAGTGAATTCTAATTGACTCTTTCTTCTGTACCGTCTGCTTTTAAGAGTACATTACATTAGCTTGTTATATATTCCTACTTAATTTCAGTTGACAAATTTAGTTTAAATGTTTAAAATATGTAAAATGCAAAATTATTCATGAGCGTTTATAAGTGACTGCTATCTGAGATTCTCTGTCTGTCCACACTTCCGCCTTTCCTTCCAACCATACAACTACTTAACATATGTAGGTGCCAACAGCGCAACGACCACACAAGCAAAATTTAGTTAACTTGCTTGCATAGTCGCGACTAATTGCTTATCGTAGTGCTGGTAGCTAGCACATATACGCCGTCTTCCTGCACTGCAAGTTGAGGCATAATGGATGAATTAAATATGTGCAACAAAAAGTACACAATTAAACTAAGAACGTCACAGGTGTTGTTTAATTTAATGATTGTTTCTCTCCGTTGCTGTGTTCTTGTGTGTGTAAGAGTGTCGACTGCAGTTGCATTTATTTGTCTGAGCACACAATCGAGACACATTAAAGTGGCAACTCCACATTAATTACCGGGAAATATTAACACTTTCGCAACAATTGTGCAATTTCATAGACGTTTCAAGTTCAATTTAAATTTTAGAAATTATATGAAATTATTTGTTGTAGAATTAAACAAGATGCAATTAAAGTATCTTTGAAATATAAACTAAGTATCTTAATACAGTTAATTGAAAATGTATTGGTGTTCGCATTTCTACGACGCTTTAAAATATGCAATCGTAAATTTTGCAACTTTGTTTCAAAATTTTTAATTTTCACATGTATGTGCACTAATTTTATGGGTTCCTTGCAGGAAGGCAAACGTGGATATTTGGAAGGATTAGCTGCACACTACAGCAAACAAATAAATATGCCATATGAAGATGTGCTGGATTCAATAGAGGAAGTTCGGGTATCGAAATGGAAGGAACGTCATATGCGCATTTCAACCGGACATACGTTAAGCAGACGAAGTGGTGGTGGTGGAGGTGGTGGTGGTGGTGTTGGTGGCAGTGTTGGAGTTGGAGTTGGTTTGAGTGGAGGTGTTGGCATTATTGGCGGAAATATTGTAAATCAATCAATTTTACCAACCAGTCATAGTCAACCGCTGTATGTGCCTGGAAAATATTTGGTAAGCGGCTGATGGACAGCAGACATGTAATGCTGAAATAGTGCGGTAGTGGTTAACAAAATTTGGTTATACCACACATGTGGCAATGCAATTGACAAACGGAGTAATAGAAATTTAATATTTAAATAGCAATTTGATGGTTTTAAATTTTAACGGTTTTAGTTTGATTTTGTGATTGGCAGTTGTGGTCATACACGTTTATATTCTTATTTATTGAAAATTTGTGTTAAGTTTTGTGTGTTTTATATTTTATCTTTCAGCCTTCGAGTTGCCTTTCGAATCGTGAAGAAAATGAAATCTACAGCTACACCCAAAATGATTTGGCAACACGCATGGCTAGAACGGGTATTGATTCGAAATCGGCTGTAAATCTAAATGGCATGCAACATAGCTATCCAGGCGCCAGAACGAATTTCTTTTATGATTTTTCCGCAACAGGTAAGTGCCGTTCAAGATGTTTCTTTACTGCATAATGTGGCTATTAAATTGAAAGAGACGAACTTTATAGCTGAAGTTGTAAAATTTTCGTCTTTACTATTGGCGTTTTGTTTATATACTTTCAGAGGGTCGCAATAAAAATAAGAGACGCACGGTATTTGCACGTTTCCTGAATGGTCTGCGTCAGAATGGTGATGAATTCGGTCCAACGGAAGGAATGCAATTAAAAGTAAGTGACTATTCTGTAAGCGAAATAAGTAGTTTTATGAAGAGTACTAAAACAGTAATTACATGTTTGTTACGTGTTGTCCCACTTAATTAAGTAAATTATTAAAAATGCGAAACAAATCTGAGAAAATTATATAGGGAAATATATATATTGAATTGAAATATTATATTTAATATTGCAACATTGATCAAATGTATATATATTCGAAGACACTATCAGTTCTTGTCATTTTTAGCAAACATAGTTTCCATCATGGAAAAGGTATCATATTTGTAGTTCTTTATATTTTATTTTAACCTAGGGTTGGAAAATAAATTTTTAATGTAGCATCCATATCCTATCTTGTCATCCATAACTCATCAAAGTTTTAATTAGTTAGTCCTAAGTACACAGCTCATAAAATGTCGACTTCTAATTTCAGTAATAAATCTAAAATCATTAATCAAATTTTTTTTGGGAAGGATATGAGGTCTTAGTTTTCAACATACCCTTTCGCTCCTTATCGTATCCACGCTGAATAAAGAATTTTCAATACAGTGTAGTTCTTAATATTTTAATGTATAGTATAAATAATGCAAGTGAATAATGAAAACTGAAGAGCATTTGATAGAAATATAGGACTGGCAAATATATTTTTAATATAAATACATTACTATATATATATATCTTATATATAAAATTAACATTGTCAAAATGTTAGTTACCGTACTCCTCCGAAACTGCTTTACCGTTTTTTACCAAATTTTATATGCGTATTCAGTAGGTCTGAGAATCGGCTACTATCTATTTTTCATACCGCTAAAGTGATTAGGGTGTTCCTATCCAGCAAAAATATCTTTATTGCTTTAACAAAAATTTTTTTATTTTTTTGACATAAATTTTTTTACATTTTTGAATAAGAAAACTTGCTATGATATGAAAAATTGTTGTCTATGAAAATACTGAATTCATAAAAGTGCCCCCTAATTTCTGCACTATCGTTGATTCCCAAAATGCTCTCATTGACCGCGTATTTCCAGATGTACACATACAATACATAAATCATGGGTGGCTGGCAGAAAGAACCATTAGCAGCAAAAAAAACGTTCACGTTGATGAATTAAACTTCAAGATAAAACAGATATTGCCAGGCGACTTAATATCATACAAATCGATCGATACAGTTTGTGATACCAACGATGTTGTAAACTATCCAGCAGAGTTTTTAAACTCACTGGATTTGCCAGGCATGCCACCACACATTTTACAACTGAAAGTTGGATCACCGATTATTTTACTTCGGAATTTGAACCCACCACGGCTATGCAATAGTACGCGATTGGTAATTAAAAAATTGATGACAAACATTATCGAAGCCACCATTTTGAATGGCAAGTTCCGAAACGAAAAAGTTTTATTGCCACGAATTCCAATGATTCTCACAGACAACCCAATTTAATTCAAACGGGTTCAATTTCCTATTACATTGGCATTTGCAAAGACTATAACTAAGTCTCAAGGCCAAACGATGTCTGTTTGCGGTCTTATATATAAAATTTCCATGTCACAATGTTAGTTACCGTACTCCTCCGAAACGGCTTTTCCGATTTTTACCAAATTTCATATGTGTATTCAGTAGGTCTGAGAATCGGCTACTATCTATTTTTCATACCGCTAAAGTGATTAGGGAGTCCCTACCCAGCAAAAATATCCTTATTGCTTTAACAAAAGTACCACGCTATTTCAAATGGGCTCAAACAAAAAAATGGATGCCCCGCAAGCAAGTTTCACCAGTTGATGCATGTCTCAATTTATTTAAATCGAACGCTTATTTACAGTTAATCCAAGACACACTGAGTGCTTTTATATTTGATTGTTGTTGGGTAATGTTACTGGCCCATTATCATTATTATTATTTACAGTCAATCCAAGACAATTTAAATTTGAAGATACAACAGTTGTTGCCAGGGAACTTGGTATCATACAAATCTATTGATTTTAAATTAATAATTTAATAAATAAACTATAATAACTTAAAAATAATATTGTTTGGTGTTTGTTATTTTTATTTTCCTTTTCGTTCATAGCGCTCCATGCCTATATCATGCATATACCACATACTTACACACTTATAATAAGTAAGTTACTTTTTGTCTACACTAGAATTTATCTAGAAACTAGAAATAATTTATAAGGCAAAACAACGTTTGTCGGGTTATCTAGTATATATATATACATGTATATATACACATACATTATATATACACAGCTTTCCTCCTATCTTATAGCAGGTGTTTAATGTCTTGGCATCTAAGGCATCTTCAAAGTTTTAATTAGCCAGTATTAAGAACATTGCTTCTGATGCTGAAGGTACTTAAACTTCTTGATTATAGGGAACGTAACTAGAATTTTAAAATGCATGTACAGTTCATTATATAAAATACATACTTCCGATTTATTACATATTTTTTTAATTTAAATTATTCGGACACTACGTGAGCAAAAGTAAAGGGATAGGATTTCTTCAAATTTTCATTTTTTAACTCCAGAGGCTTCGTTTACTATCCGATTAATCGAATTCTCCGAATACTTCGTAAAACCGAATACGAACAGCACTACAATATAGTCAGCCCATTAGTATAAAAAATAATGATTGGTTTGGACATATAAGCGAGTTATTTGAAAGAATTATTTAATGTATAAATTATTAAATGTACAGTAAAAGGAAAACATTTTATTGACTTGGACACCTACCAAATTTCCTATGCTATTATCTTAATGAGCGTCATGAATTTTTGACAGTACAGTATAGTCAGGATCTTCTTCTTTGGTAATAAATGATTTCATAGCAAATAGACAGGATTAAAGAGTCCTGTGTATTTTGGATTGCTCTTTGTATAGCAATTCTTCTGTTGTATGCTGTCCAATTAGTTAATCTTTTAAAAGAATATGTGGAATACTAGAATATGTGGAATTATATTATCATACCTTCTGCTCTAAGAGTATTTTGTTGTTTGTTAACTACTCCTTAGATAATAGACCATTTTCAAAAATTTTTTTTGTTATGTTTCTTGACATATTGTACAAATTTGAGCGCCATCTGTCAATTAGTTTGTTTACAGCAGCTGTTAATGTAAGACTACCTCAAATGCATTTAGCAATTTTTACTATGGAAAAATCTTGTTGTACGCGATTTTTTGACCAAACACGGCACCACTGTCATCGCTCAGGCACCATATTCGCCAGATCTGGATCCTTGCGACTTTTTTCTGTTCCCGAAACTCAAATTACCCCTTCATGGTAAGCGTTTTGAGTCGATTGAAGCGGCAAAAGAGAATTCGCTGAAGGAACTAAAAGCCATACCTTCACGGGCCTACAAAAAGTGTATGGAAGATTGGGTTAAGCGTTGGCATATGTGTATCGCTTCAAAATGAGCATATTTTGAAGGATATTAAATAAATTTGGAATAAAAATTAAATTTGTGTGTTTTATTTACAAAATCCGAATACTTTTTGAGCAGAAGGTACACTATAATATATAATAATATAATATATAACAAAATATATGTATATAATAATTTAATATATAATAAAATGTAACTACTCCATATCATATTTAAATTTAAATATTTCGGTCTGCAGCTTGAATAAATATTGGTTGAAATAGAGAAATAGAGACCAAGTGTGCCTAACCATTTTACTGATAACATATTAAATCTTTACCACATTAAACGAAATTTTTCACATGAGTATCTCTACTCCTTCTTTTATTGTTGATAATATTTTTATTCTCTCTATGAAAAAATTGAATTTTTTATATCAGATTTCGCCAAAAGTCATAAATTTTTGATTCATATCCTTTGTTTCACTATTTTTATCACATGTATTTTTATTGTTGCTGCTGCTGTTGTTTTGGTATTAACTCTAAAAGGACTCTAACCCAAAGCTTGAATGTCAATGATTTTCATTTACCTGTGCTTTTGTTGTCGCCTGAACCGTATCCGGCGATTTGTGTTCATTTGCACCTTTTTCATTTGCTTTGCGGTTTTTTCGGTAGAAGTCCTTCCTATTTTTTTCTACTCTTTTGGTGCGCTTTTGCGGTAGTCCATTTTCTTTCTCTTATTGCTAGCAGAGAAAGTATTTCTCTTGTGGGCGCAAATTATTGCTACGTTGTTGTTTCGCAAGGATATACGCTGATATGGCAAGCTTATGAGCATAACAAGTCATGTCCTTTAGCTGACAATGTTGTTGTACGACTATGGCTTGAGGATTTCAGCTCTGATTGTGTTGTTGTTATTATTTCAGGCGTAAAGTGTTTTGTTAAAGTTTTGATACTCCTTTTTGAGATTTTTTTATAATTTGTTTTTCTTTGCGAAATTTTTAAATAGGTTTGTGCACATTGGATACTGATTGGATGCTAGTACAAATATGAATGCTATGATTTTGTTTGGGCTATATCTGTTGTTTTTTCAACACTTTTTTTGAAAATGTCCTTCTTCGTTTATATTGTGACTGTTCATTTAATATTTAAGCGCAATTTGCGCTTCAGCTACTTTTTATTGCTCCTCCTTTGACTATTTCGGTTCTTTCAGTTCTGGGTGCGCACCTCATTGCTGTTGGCATATTTGTTTGTATTTTGACATGTTGTCCCGGCTCATCCTCATTTTTGTCCTTGTCGTTGTATCAGTATTTGTATTTATACTTTGTTTTGTGGTCAATTTTTTTAAATGACTTCAACTGAGCGAATGAGTACCGGAAAGTGCCGTTTCAAGTACTGCCAACTAATTTATATATAAAAAAATTTTTTTTTCGTGTTTGTGCATTATAAACTTTTTGACTTTTACCTACTCTTACTCGTACTTCATTTTTGATGTCCTCTTATTCCTACTCGTTTTTAAGCAATTTCATTTCAGCAGTCACTTGGTCCTTTGACAGAACTTTGTACAAATTTTCTTTTCTTTTTGGTTTCTGTATTGATGTCGCTGTTGCTGATACAGAGACTTTGTTGCTCCTAGTCGATGCAGTGTTGTTTTAACGGTGACAGCCTGTAAAATTTTTTTCGGTTCAAGAAGGAAACGCTTAAATGGCATGGAATTTGCTCATTATGCGGTCTGCTGCGGAAATGTTTCTACGGGGAAATCTCGCTTTTCATTATTTTTGGCTGTTATTGTAGGAACAAATTATTATTTGAGAATGTAGTACATTTACACAAACATAAATAGAATATAAGTTTGTTTTTTAATTTGATGATATTTGTTTAGGATATGAGAAGCTTTTTACTTTTTATTGTTCCTCTTATGGTTTTTGTTACAGGTGTTAGGAGCATAACTTCTTGCTCTTTTATTATAATTTGAATGAAGTCTGTCTACTTAGTCCCATTATGCATTTTGAATATTTTTCAACTTTGATAATTTGCTTAAGCCCTATAATTATGGAGGCTGTAGAAGAAAAAATATTTCATGTTATGTACATATACATATAATACATATTATATATTATATGTTATATATATAACAAGTCTGTTCTAACCTTAAAATATAATATTTATAATTTTATATGGAAGACTTCGTCTTTGTTTTGAGGCCCCAAAAATGGCACCTAGGAAGTCAATTAGCTGGTTAGTTATTCTGTATTAAATACTGTGTTAAATGATAGTAGACAATACGACTGTTTGGGGAATTATGGTCATGAAGACACCTACCTAACATTGTATAAGTGACATTATCAAAGATTAAATAATTAAAAGACATGAAACCGTCAAGTTCAGCCACCATACACCAAAGCTTATGGTAGCTGTGTGTATGTACTTTAGTGATATATTTCATTCACATTCTTCAACTAACAATGTAAATTCAGATAGATATGTATAAAATTGGTTAGTTCATTGTTAAAGCAGTTATAGGTAATTTAATTCACCCAGCAAATATTGTCAGCTGTTTTTTGCGTTAAGGTTCCATTGATATATTAAATATTTGTGGTGTAGAGTTTCAAATTGTAATAAAACATAATTGCATATATTAATTATAGGCACAGAATTTTGCTGAGCGTTTCACAAAATTAGCTGGTGTCGATGTCTATTAGTCCCGTTTTAAAAATTGGTAGTAATTACTATTTACTACGTTCTCTTAAAAAACCCTTTACTAATCTGTGCCAATTCTTCTACTCCTAAAAACACAATAGTCATTGACTCAAATGAGCTTTTTGGATTACTTAAAGACGTTTCAAACAAGGAATAGGGAATATTTTCAATATCTTTATATGTAGAATATATATTCATTAATATTATATATTTATATATAGTACACAGTCTAACAAGTAGATATTATCCCATTATCCTATTAAACGCAGAAGCTTTTCAGAGAATGTACACAAACACGATGCTGTTCAATGGATTTTGGGCTTTTGGTAAGAAGCCTGTACTTATTCGTAGACTGCTGATAAACTAAATGGAAACTGATGCATAGTGTCTAAGTATATTTTTAATAAAAATTTTATTATTATTCTTTTATTAACAAAGAAACTACCTCTGGTGTAGTATTCCATAAGGAAATAATTTTTAAACTTTGGTCTTTATATAAGAAATAATGCTAGTTGGCATTTGAATTATCAGCTGTTCGAGAGCCTATGTATTGTTAAAACTGTCTATTAAAAGAAGATTTTGTATTGTAATAATATTAATATTAGTTAGAATTTTAAAGGAAATTATTTGTAATTGAACCTGAAAGTTACTGATAATAATTTGTATATTAGTAAATGATTAATAGAAACTAATAATAATTAATAATGAAATTAGAATAATAATGAAGGTACTTATTACTTAATTTTATCCATGTTGACTAAGTGATATATATCTTTTTTTCAATTTTTCCTATCCAAACATAAATTCCATTTATCCAACATTTGTAGTGGTCTTCATTCTAGAATTTCAAAACAATTTATATGTATTTATTAGTGTGTTGTTCATGCAAAGTAACTTGTTATGGGTTTTTGTTCAATTAAGAATGTTACTTTGAATAATTATCAAGATATGATTTATACTTTAATTTATTTTCCATGGTCTAAAGATAAACTAGAGTTGAAATAAATTTTTAGTTCTTTAATAAGAGCTTTGATAAGCAAACTATTATAATTATTTTACTTAAGCCTATTAAATAATTGTGTAACAGTCAGTGGCGGCCTAGGCGTCAGTGATGTCGGCGACCGCCGATGGCCTCGTGATCACAGGGGCCTCGCAAAAAGTTATGAACTGTGGATTCTAAGCACTTAATAAATATTTTGAGCAATTTGGTTTGATAATGGCTTTAACCATATTCGAAGTATTTCCGAATATTTATATAGGAACCAGATTCATGTTCACAGTTCCAGTCAGTATAGCATCGACATAAAGAAGCTTCTCCAAGTTAAAATTGATTAAGACGTACTAGAAAAGTATGATGATCCAAGAGAGACTATCTCCATTGGAAATTCTATAAACTGAAGCGAAAATAGCAGCTGGCGTAAATTATGATATAATTTAAAAAAAATTGAGTGAGGCTAAAAGTAGGAAAATTCATTTAATTTGTGTTTATTTTAATTTGATTAGCAATAAAACTTTCAATCATGCTTTGTCGTATATATTAGTGAATGTAACTTATTTACTTTTACAACTGGGTTATAAAAGGGCCCAGCAATTCTGATGTCGCCGACGTCCAGAGTTGGTCTAGCTTCGGCACTGATAACAGTACACAACTCATTGAGTTTAACACAATATTGACTCTTCTATCTATTTTGTATATTTAACTTAATTGTATTACATTTAAATCTTTTTTCATGATTTTTTTGCAGACCTCTGAAAAATTGAAGAGTTGTGGTACAATGAAACGCGTGGAGCCGCATCAAAATTTTGAAGAGACAATACAACGCGTAACTATAAAAATTTTAATTTAAATTTTAATTAAAAACAATTTAAAATAATATAAAAATAATTGTATTTACACACATACTTGCAGTTGAAAACACAGAAGGCAGCACGTAAAAAAGCAGTCACACATGATAAAGGCATACATGATCGCAACAAGGATGTTTCACACACGATGGTTGCCGAAATGCCGCTGAACAATTACACAAAGCATCCTTAGGAGTTAACCAATATAAAGGACAATCCAAATGGCGAAGATGAAAATGAAAAATATAAAGCAGAAGAAAAACTTTCCACTCAAACTGACACAGAAGAGTTCCAACAGCAAAAATTACTGCAATTGGAACAAAAAACTGAGGCAATTCAAGTTAATGCAGAACAACAAAACATGGAACAAGCATCAAAACTATAATTTTAACAAACAAAACAAAAAAAACAATTACACAAATGCAATAAACAAAATATATATTAATAATATATAAAAGATGAAAGATTATGTACAGAACAGCATTCTCATGTTTATTGCTCCTAAGAATGTCCTGAATTGTTTTGCTTTAGTGGAAACAGTAAGTAAATAAATTAAAGAAAATTATATAAATTAATTATGTATCTATTTTCGATAAGAAAAATAAGATAAAATTTTTTTAAATTACAAAGGAGCTATATTTGACGTAGAAAAAGCATCATTTCATTACCCAAGACAGTTCATAAAACTTACTTAAAATTGAAAAGGTCCGCAGACTAAATAAATTTCAAATTAGATAAATCATTGATTTCAAAATTTTATATATTAATTATTAATTTCCGAAGTTAAAATAAAAGGACTTCAATACATTTAACTGTTCCTGCCCAGCAATTGTTAGAAAACAAGTCCTTTCTAGTTTCACTAAATTGAAATGAGGTGTGTGCTCATTAATGAACAGATATTTTTAGGCTGAAAGAAATAGCTCCATAACAAATGCTTAGAAGCGTTGGACTAATGAAGTTACTCCAACACAAATATGTGAGTGTAATTGGACTTCTCAATACTGGAAAAAATCATTTTCTTTACATTATTACTTTCTCTTATATAAAAATATATTATTTAATATACATTTTTAATATATTAGTAGAGGAAGAGTTGTGTATATAATAATGTACTTGTAAAGACTCTGAGAATTTTGTAATTATTAACATGTAATTATTTTCGTAGATGTATTTATACCATCATACATTACATTATTATACATTTATAACATTTTGATTATGATAAAAGATTCTGTATTTGAAAAAAACCTCTACAATAAAACCATCTTCATAAAATATATCCCTGAACTATAATAATAATAAATGTTGCTCATTGCCTTTAATGCTGCACTTAGGTCACATAAATGAATCTACGTGTTCAAATGAAACCATCTCTTTCGAAGCTCCTATATTTTTGTTTAAGTTCTAATATCATATGATTTAAACAATTAAATTTTATAGAACAGTTAAAATAAAAATATTTACGTTATTAGAAATTAAATTAAAAAACATTGCATTTCAATTTTTTTTTTGAATTTTATTTTTTAATATCGAAGTTACATTTTGCTACGCTGTATTATAAAGCTAAATGACAGATAAACATATATAATATTGTATTCTCCATTTTGTTTGTATTCGTTTTCTTGATACATTAGATACCTTAGAAACTTAATTTGGCATTATGTATCTCTTTTTCATATAACTCCAGTCTCTGTATGAACCTTCATAAAATATATCTTTAAGAAGTTTACCCAAAGAGTCAGGTGTTTTCTGACCAAGATAGTGTTTTCTTATATTTTCTGCAGAGAATTCTTTGTCAAATCTAGAGATCCTATAGGGCTCATCTTCTGATTTTATTGGCTCCAAGTATAAATCATTTTCAATGATTTCTATGTACTTCTCCAATTTGTGATCTGATACATATAGTAGCTGTATTTGATATTGAGCTGGATGAAACATAAAATGAAGATTTAAACACTGTTCCCGAATTTGCAGATTCAAATTGTTGACCATAACAATGATTTTTGCAATTGAATAGGTCGAAGGTTGTTTTCGATCTTCGTTTCTCAAATGGTGGGTTAGCTTTAAGGTACAAGTAGACTTGTTTACACACCCAGTTTTTGAAGTATTTAATTTTGGTTTTAATAAGTTCAGCAACTGTAGTTCAGATTTAGTAGGATGAAACATAATCTGAATATATAAGAACTGTTTTTGAATTTGCAAATTCAAATTGTTGACCATAACAATCATTTCTTCAACTGAATAGGATGTAGAGACAACAGAAGAAGATGTTATTTGTGATGTTGTGGGAACTTCTTCCGAAGCTTCTGCAGTTTTGCTCGTATTATTATTATCACTCATTTTAACGAATATAAAAATTAGTGCGAGTGTTATGTGTATAAATGTGACGTGCTACTAACGGCGAGTGAATGATAATTAATAAATTTTAATATTTATATTCATTTCTTTTATACCATTTCCTTCACAAACTAAGGTGCAATATTCTTAAATTTAGCTCAAATTATTTCCTAGAATTAGGGATAAAAATTTGCCTGGTACTCATGCGCACAATTACAAAAGGTCATCCGCCCGTATTTAGGACTTTCCATTTATTTTTGCGGAAATATTTAGTTATGTTATAATTTGAAGAAAATTGAAGATAAATGTACAATAGTTTTTCATTTTAATATATTATAATAATATGTTTGTAACGGATTATAACTATCAAGGAAATACTTTATCTTTTACTTTTTATTAACTTCTAAGAATATTTATTCATAATGTAAAATAATGTATAGCAATAGGTATAGAAATAACAATAACTTATAAAACGTCTTTTATATATTTTTATAATATAGAAAGATACTATCGTAAAGGTAATACCTATGTACTTTTCAATACATAATATACACTCGGAAAACATTTCGTATGTAAATTTATGTTAATCTTATTTGCTCGTATACACCGAAGTCTACAAGTATATTTGTCTTCATTGAATCGAATGAGGTTTGGGGTCTTGAATTAAGGGATATTTTTAAGTATTCCTTTGTTTAGTAAAATATAAATTATCATGTTAATAATAAAAAAGCTGTTTTTCGAGTTTAAATTCATGTTGAAGAAAATATTTTAGATGCTTTGGATTAACATTGTAGGATGTTACTTAAACTCAAATATGTGAATACAGTTGGACTTTTCATTACTGTAATTGTTTAAAATATATGAATATTATATAATATATATCTCTAATACGTTATATTAGACAAAATTACAATTATGATGTTGAAATGATCGTTTTTTATCGTCTATTAACGATTTTAGTGTAATTAGCATGGAAGTAGGTATATGTCTTATATCTAATGTGTACTAATAACTAAGTACTGCTTAGTAAAAAATTATGTTTACATCTACAAAAAGTGTCAACTATGTGTTT